AATACTTTATCATTGTATTGAATGCTTTTTACATTGGAATCATAAATACCTCTGAAAATAAATTAAAACGTAAATATTCCCAGTTTCAAACATTATTAACAAAATAATCATTGTGTAATCAAAATAATCATAATAATGAAAAAAATCCAATTTTCCTACCATGTGGTCTGGATTCCTAGATAAATGCTTGTGTTCATAGTAAGCTGGACATATTAGAAGAAACGGGGTCAAGTCATGGTATGATAAACATGGTCAACAGGGGCGGATACAGCTTTTTGAGAAAGGGGGGATGCACACTATTGAGAAAAGGGAGGGTGCACGCTTCATTTTCACCCGAGTTTCAATGGTCATTTAATAAAATTTCAGGACGAAAGGGGGGGTGCGCACCCCTGCACCCCCCCTCTGGATCCGCCTATGGTCAAGTTGCTGGCTTCCTACCACCATGTTCCCATGACTCTTAGACTATACATGATACAAATGATAAACGATCAGATAATGTCACTGAAGATCAGCTACTCTCTGTTTGCCAATATTTGTTATGGTTACAGCATTGTAGGAAAGATGTAGAAAATCTAGCCTGTCCACAGGACTGGCTGGTCAAATTTTTTACCAGTCCTGCCAAAATCTAGCCTGTCCTCCAAATATAAATAAAACACCATTTCAAGACTTAAAACTGGCTTGTTTTATTTTAAGCTATAATTTAATATGCACACACAGAGCTTGGACTGTTAAATCTCTCCTAGTGGAATCATCTGGTTACAACATGACAGAACTAGTCTTCAGACAAGTCATCAACATCTCCATCAAGATCTGAACAGTCAGAGTCATAGTCTGAATCTGCATCCTTGCCAGTTGCACATTCAACATTGACTAAAATAAGAGTAAATTCGCTCAGTCATAGCAGCAGACTGACCGATGAGGGTCGCGCCATTTTGGTTTGAAATTGGGGGAAACAAGAAACACGTTTTCCTATTCGTTGATTCTGTGACAACCGGCCAATCACGCACTTCCTTACTAAACTCGTTTCAAGAAGCTAAGGAAGAGAACTCTGTTCTTATAGCAAACATATCTCATCGATTTCGTTTGCGATAATTTTATCTGTTTGATTATTCTAGTATCTTTTGGCAGTAAATATTCAAAAAGGTTATAATATAATAATGATTATGTCATTGGTTTGCTAAAACTGACCCAACATGAGGACGGACCAGATTTTTTTTTAACCCGTCCTCCACAAAATTCACCCGTCTCGGACGTTGGGACGGGCTATCTTTCCTACACTGGTTACAGCGATCATTTTGGACAGCACCGTTGCACCATGCACACTTTGAAATATGAAATGCTGCATTGAAAACAACCAGTGTCCCTTATGGCGCATATAAATCCCACATGGTGCAATACGTTGTGTTTGGTTGGGACCCCATGGCTATATACAAATTATGGGTGACTATTGAGTGGGAAACAACTATTGCGATAGCGATAATCTATTGCAGCATACTATTGCGATCAACTATTGCAATACTGTTGCTATAGTTTTTTTCTTCTTGAATTGTCTCATTTGAAGTCATTTCCCAAATGAATATATAGTTTATATGAAATAAAAACAAGTTGAAGTAGTTTCACTCTCTTTTTATAACTGACAAGAAACTTGAAACCCAAATCAAGTAAACAGTTAAAACTCAAATGAAGCTGCAAGTCTGCACCTAAAGAATAAAAAAATCTGCGCATTTATCAATGGAAGTCAATTACTAAACTATCGATAGGCTCACATGCTATTGATGCATCAACAGTTTTTCGTTTCAACCATCGATTGAGACTATCACAGACTCAACAAATGTAATCCATCGATAGTTCGATGCATCGTTACAGCCTTAATACAAATAGTAGGTTTATTTTGATTAATATAATTAATAAGCTTTTGCTTTTTCCATGTAGATGCAACCCTTCTGCTAAATATTTTAATAGTTATGATTACGTCCATTAAAGTAACCATATTAATTTTTTAGAATTTGTTCTATATGTTTAAAAACATTCAATAATTTTATGTTTTGCTCAGTATTTTTTTGACACATGAGACAGGTATACGACAGGTTTTTGACAGGTATACGGTCATTTTTGGTTATTTCTGTTCTATGTAGCAGATTTACATCTGGAATTGACCTTGATATGTCTACTTGTACGTGGTAGGGTTACTTGGGGGTCAGGGCTTGAATTTGAGGGGCCCCAACCTAGCAGGCCATGCAGAATAGTCACTGAACCGTTGACAAAGAAAGCAAGTACGGTACTTTTTGTTAGCAGTATATTCCTTGTCAGTGATGAAGCATTACTTCGTGGAGAAAACGGCTTGGGTACCCGAATCCCAGTTTCTGTCCTTATCTGGGTATCTTCTGTAGGTCTCAAGACTTGGGTACAAAATGTCTAACTGGGAATTGCTTTATTGGACCTCTGACATATTGCATTTAAATACATGTACAGTTGACTGAAGCAGTATATTTACTCAGACATAAAAGTCAGAAGGAATGTGTGTATAGTTAGGGAGAAATGCAGATATAAATGTTTGTAGTGTTACCAGTTTTTGTCCTTCAACAATGTGTCTTGTCCTTGTACCCACCCACCCACCCAACCCCACCCTACCCACGCACCGAGTTATCTATCAAAGCCCTACTGGATAATGGGACATTATATGCATCCATTTTCACTTCTAATGGATACAGGTGGGACTATCTGATGTCCGGTAAACATGATAAAGACTAACTGACCGAGTTTGGTTTTACGCCGCTTTTAGCAATATTCCAGCAACATCACGGTGGGGGACACCAGAAATGGGCTTCACACATTGTACCCATGTGGGGATTCGAACCCGGGTCTTCAGCGTGACGAGCCAACGCTTTAACCATTAGGCTACCCCACCGCCCTAACATGATAAAGAACTGATGAGGCAAATATAGACGTAATTTCTTGGAAAATTATAATCTTTTTGTTAAATTCTTTTGCTCGCTATCATCATTAACCAGGTAAATTTGAAATAGCTAGTCAAGTATATTAAGTACTATAGAAACCAACCAATCTTTTGCCCTTCATTGGCAGTGACATATCATATATATGTCCCTGTGAAGATTTCTCTGAGATAACTGTAGAAAGGAAGTTGCTACCAGTTCCTACAAGCACACAGAAGATCTTAAAGTGATATTTTCTTCAGTGATATCCTCAGTCAGTATATTGTGTGGTGAAGTTTTAGATCTTCTGACTGATGTGACTAGTCAAAGATTATGTTACCTTTTACCTTGAGACCTGATGGGTCATATATCATTGGCCAGGGTCATATGAACAAGGTCACCTATTGGCCAGTAAAAGCAGGGTAGGGACCACCTATACCAAAATAGTTTTGGTTCAGGGACATTATCTGCATCCATCCATCCATCAATGTATTTAGGGGGGCAAACAGTATCATAAACATTATAAAGAAATAAACACTGAATTATAGACATGGCACGAGGGTGATTGATTCAATTGTCATTCGACATAACAGGCCATATCTATATTTTTGGCTTAATGATTCTTAGATGCTTGATTGGCATTTTAGAAGATGATATTTGATGAACATAGAGATTTTTTCTGGGTTACATCTTCTTTTTATTCTCGAGTACAACGTTTCAGGGCTTGTTCTGGCCCCATCATCAGGTAAACTGAACAGTAACTGTTAACTCTGGCCGTGACGTCACAATGCTTATGACGTCATAATGCTATGACGACGCAATACATGTGGTGGTCAATAGATACAGATGACATGGCTAATAGAATACATGTTATTATGAATATATAAGATGTCATTTACTGCAAAATTAATGGATCAAATTAGAACTGTGCAGATACTTATACAAAATTGTTGATTGAATTAGAAATGTACAGAGACGTATTTATAAATGTATAGAATGTAAAGTAATAGCAGTGTATACAAAGAAATTATGCTTTATACATGGGAACAGTGACGAGGGTAGGGTATTGTCTTATTGTTTTATGTACCATGCATTTGGGAGGTAGACACCCTGGTCCCTGTTTATTGCTGGTTTTGTGCGTTTGATGAAGATAGCTTCAATCAACTTGCGTTTACGCCAGTCACTGATGTTTTTTGAGAGGACTTCAGTTTCCCAGTCAACTTCATGATCGGGATTATTCATAATGTGTTCAGAAACTGCAGATTTCAGATCTGATTTGTCCACTGAAGTTTTGTGTTCTTTCACACGTGTAGCTACTGGTCTGCCTGTCTCACCAATGTAGATGTCACCACAGTCACATTTCAGTTTATACACACAGCCTTTAGGGTTGGATATAGCATGATTGCATCCCTTACCATTTGCACGTAGCAAAGTTTTAAGGGTTTTGCCAGACAAGAAAGTGGTGTCAATGCTACTGTTCAGTTTACCTGATGATGGGGCCAGAACAAGCCCTGAAACGTTGTACTCGCGAATATAAAAGAAGATGTAACCCAGAAAAAATCTCTATGTTCATTAATGATTCTTGTCGGCAACCCTTCATGTCAGTGATAGACTGACTCAAAATATGACATTGAGAATGCCCTTGATGGGAGCAGACATTTTTAACCTATACACTTGGCAGGTTAATGTTTCTCGAAGTTACTAATGAAACATCTACCGGTAGTTTAATGTCAGTATGTCTATCTGTGTGTCTGTCCCTCCACCTGTCCACCCATCCATGTTAACCTGTTAAACCTGTGGAAGCATCACCACAGAGACATGTCATTTAAGCATCCTAGAATCTGATGATCATTGGTTCGAGTCCCTGATTATGTGGCAACCATACCCTTGCTCGTGTAACTTGAGCATGTGAATGACCTGCATTTCCTCCCATGTTATGTTGACATCCCATGCTGGTGTTAAACCCTAATTCACTGACTTGTCCTCAATAAGTGCACAAGTTATCCTTTCGTGCAGACCGTTGAACACTGTTGTTTGCTAATTATCAGTTCTGCGTCTGTGTTCCAGAACTACCCCGGTTACGTGCCTTCTTCAAGGAGTTGGACAAATCAGCTGAGTACCTGGACATCTATGGCACAAAGACTGGCATTGTAAGTATCACAGTGAACTCTCACAGACTTAGACTTGCTGAAGTCTCTAAGGTAATAAGTTTAAATTATAATTTCGATAAAAAAAATATAAATAACAGACTGGCATCAAGTCTCTAAGGTAATTATTAATTGTATGAATTATATCTTCTATACAAAATATAAATAACAGCCTGGTGTCAAGTCTCTAAGGTAATAATTAATAGTTTGAATTATTATTTCTGTAAAACATATGAATAACCGACTGGCATCCTTCTTATCTAGACTTGCCTCTTTGAGGGACAGAATTACAATAAATGTACATCCATGGGCTTAGCATTCAGTACAGCCTTGGAGCAAGGCTATCACAGACTGTATGATTGATGCTGTATGACCAATTTAATTACTTTTGTTCTGAATGAAGTTTATCATAGTCTCAGTCATTAGAGACGTAATGATTCACTGATATCTGCAATGTCTTTGATTCTTAGGTATAGACTGAAGTTGAATCGTCACTTTGTGAAATCACAATACACTGTACAGAGAACAGGAATTACATCCTATACCCAAAGCATCTGTGTTACCTTGAAGCATAGGGATGTGATGGGGGAGCCTAGTGGTTAAAGCTTTTGAGCGTCACACGAAAGTCCGGGTTATATTGCCCACATGGATACAATATGTGAAGCCCATTTCAATGTCCCCTTCCATGACATTGCTGGAATAAAAGCTAAAAGTGGTATAAAACTATATTCACTTTAAGCATGGTGGAATATAGCAAAGCAATGCCTGTAATCATGGCAGAAAATAGAACATGGCCACATAAAAGCCTTGGGGAACAAGGATTCAGTCATAATAGGAAAATAAGTTTTCATTTTCAGGCTTTTTCGAGCCCAAAATTTACCTAAACATTAAAAAAGGTTATGAAAAATTACAAGCCAGAGGTGTTTGGCTGTATGTAGTTCAATGATTTCAGTATTTCTTACAATTTGCTGTATATTGTGATACAAGTGGTATCATCAGTCCACATTGGGATATGGTTGTATCAAGAGATCGCAGACAATTCTTAGCTGCACAGGTCATTGTGCATATATAGGTTATATGTGTTTGACAACTACCTCTCCAGTTTGCACTATAATTTGTGTATTTACCTTTCCATACAGACATGGTAGAAACAATGTCTCCTATGTTGTAAGAACCTGAGTCTTCAGGAAGTGCTCTGTTTGCAGCTGGACTGTAGTAGCGATGCTGCCACTATGGTGGAAGAGTGCAAGGCTTCGAGGGTGGAGTACAACGTTTACAGCTATAGGCAAGTGCTGATACCACTGTCAGTGTGTCACTTTAATACACTCAAGGCAGTAACCATTGTTATTGGCATTTAAATAATAAAACTGAGTTTGTAATTAGCCGTTTTTGCCATTTGTGTGGTTTGTTACCATGGTTACTAGCATGCATAACCTTAGAAAAGTAACCTAGATTTCATGGATAACAATGAGGCGACCTTGTCTTGTATTTGTGTGAAGGGCATCCTGGGTGCATGAAATTACTGTATATGAGTCCAGTGTGCAAAATGGTTTCCAAATTTTGCTATCGAGTTGGGCTAGCTATATGCCTGAAAGTTACTAGCCCACAAAATACTTCACTAGCCCAAAATTTGAATGTAGGCACGGGTATCACGATAATTGCTAATATGATGAACATTTTTATCAGGCCATAATCTTGCATGACTTTCAAGTGTCTTATAACTTAACAAGTCGGAGAGAGTGATATATTTACAAAATGACCCCATGAAAATTTACTAGCCAGTCGGGCCAGTGACTGTGGAGATTTACTGTCCCAACTGGATTTTTACTAGCCACAGGCTAGCAGGCCAGTGCCTATTTTGCACACTGTATGAGTCTCAGAAACCTATGATTTTCCTGATGATGTTTCTCGGTTTGTCAGAAAAACTGCAAACCCATTCTCATTTGTTTTCTCCCAGTAAGGAATGTCCCAAAGTTGGTTCATGTGTTTTGAAGTTCCATGTTGTGATATTTCAGAGATGGCAACAGTCTGCTCATTCTGGAGCTGGAGACCATGTTTGATGTCAACTCCATCATGTCCAACATACTACAGTAAGTAGCTTGCTGGCCTAGCTTGGCACAGACTGTTGCAATGATAATCGCTGTGAAGACGTCAGCTCTGTGTAGCTTGTGGACAAGCTTTGTAGCCTTAGTGAGTAAGTGAGTTTAATTGTACGCCGCTTTTAGCAATATTCCAACAATATCTTGGCGGGGGACACCAGACGTGGGCTTCACATATTGTACCCATGTGGGGAATCGAACCCGTGCCTTCAGTGTGACGAGTCTGAAGCAAAGTGGCACAGTTAATAGTAAATTGTATAAAGGTTCATATTTTAGACAATTTACCAATGATTTTGTACGAGTGTGGTCACCAGTCTGATTAATTATCTGTAAATAACTTCTTGCACACCAGAACATCTATGACATGGATGTCATAGAGAGATGTACACGAAGTTCACACCAGCACCGCTCTCTGAAGTAACATGCTGCTTCATACGAATGTGTGTGCTTCCTATGACTTGCACCATCACATAAATAATACTTACATCGTTTCTTCCCACTAGGCTTATTTTGCTGCATGACGTACCCATTGTCCAGAGTCGGTCTGATCGGCAACAGATTGAACTGAAACATAAGGGCAAGTCTGATGTCATCTTCCTTTCCACAAGGCCATTGGCACCTATGGTAAGTGATAGTGTTGTATGCTCCATATATGTCCTCACAGATTTCATCCTGATTCAAGTTTCTGGCATTGATGGTAACAGTACATAGATTAGTCATCATGACCTTCAATGTCGGCCATTTGCACCAATGTTCAGTGCCTGACAATGCTGTATATATATGTTAATATGGATATCTAATTTACATTTTTATTCCACAAGGCCATCAGTAGTGGCACCAATGGTCAGACTATACCTACTCATTATGCCCTTAAAAAGGTGATTGGTACTAATGGTGAGAGACTGATAATGTTGATGCTTGATGTATGTGGATAGTTCTTCATATCTGTACAGCACAAGGCCAATGGTACCAATGCACAGATTTATCACCATGTCCTTCATCAAGGCCATTCATATTCAATGGGAGTCACTGACAATGTTGCATACTTGACATATTTACATAGATTTAACATCACTTTAGCATCCCAATATTATAAGAGCATTCTGATAGTGTTGTATATTTTTCTTCCATGAGTCACTTAGAAACACCTTTCTAATCCAATGTCGTATGCTCTGCCAATTGATATTAATGGAATGAATTTGTCAATACAGTTTTATATCCTCCTTCCACTAGGCCACTGTTTGTCTTGGTAAGAGTTTCCTGGTTTAGTGTTATATCCTCCTTCCACAAGTAATTAGTAAGAAATGGAGAGAGCTTTCTGATTCTAATTGTTACCTGACCCATGAAGATCCAGGTTAGAATTGATCTTCAGTAACCCATGCTTGTCATAAGAGGCGACTAACGGGATTGGGTGGTCAGGCTTGCTGACATGGTTGACACATGTCATCGTATCACAATTGCGTTGATCGATGCTCATGCTGTTGATCACAGGATTGTCTGGTCCAGACTCGATTATTTACAGACAGCTGCCATATAGCTGGAATATTGCTGAGTGCGGCATAAAACTAAACTCACTCACTCACTATTAGTTACCTGTTTTAATACTTTATTTCAAAGATGTACACTTTATTGCTGCATGAAAATATCTTTCAGCAGCTGTATCTGTAATATATATGTTTAGTTTTATCACATGCATTTTACAAGTAAGCTGTTCATGTACAAGAAATTAGTCATTGGATGATGAACAATATCCCCAAATTATTTTTTGTAAGGAAAATGTTGTTTTTACATATCTTATTACATATCTTAAACATGATTTATTGATATACATGATAGAATAATATAAGTTGTTTACTGGTCTTGAGGGGGACATGGGCTGATGTACCCTTGATGTTTGTTTATGTTCCCTGAGCCCGAAAGGTTCGCTTGTAAGCAGGGTACATTCAAAATGATAAGGGAGGCGGTGGGGTAGCCTAGTGGTTAAAGCGTTGGCTCGTCACGCCGAAGACCCGGGTTCGAATCCCCACATGGGTACAATGAGTGAAGCCCATTTCTGGTGTCCCCAGCCGTGATATTGCTGGAATATTGCTAAAAGCGGCGTAAAACCAAACTCAGTCAGTCAAAATGATAGCAGAGCACTCAGCCAATCAGAAAAGGACATTTATGTGTGAGGCAAGATAAAATTTAATAAATATTCTTGGTGCTCTAAAGACATGCAATGTTAGAAAAATGCCAGCAGTATTTCTACACACTACACAGCTGTTTTACTTCAGCCAGAGACTATATATTAAGATTATCTACAGCTACCTCACTTAATCATAAAATTATCGTTTGTCGATTTCGGGGGAAATGGACTATATTGGAGTATGAACATTATCAGTGGTTTGATCACATCATTGGAAGATGCAAGTGCCGAAGCACGGATGGCCTTGTTACAGTAGTCATGTCAAGATATAGTTGTGTCAATTAAGAGGACTACCTGCCAATTTGAGAGCGGCATCTGTCCGGAAGCCAGGCAGTTTGGAGCCAGTGTATCAAATGAGAGAAATCAATAAAAGACTGCAGTGGATACAGAGACCATATGAATCACCTGTCACCATGACACCAACCCATAACTATATCCTGCTTAGCACCATTAGGTGTCCCCAGCATATGGCAATGATGAAATGATACGCCCAAGTGGAATTGCCTGTTGTTACAAAGAATTTGTTTTTGTCTTGTTACTGTAAGAAAATATATGCTACTTGGCGACACTTCAGTTTAAGTAGCCAAATACACAACCCAAACTAAGACTAGCATGAAATTTATGTTTGAATAAAAATCACAATGCATTTCTCTCTTTTTAATAATATTTTTTAAAGCTCATTTAATGCATCTAGCAATGTTTGTCAATTTGTTTCATCCAGATTGGTTTTGATGTGCAGTGAAACACTATTGTGTCAAAGTTGGGAGGAAAATACTACCCAAGGTTGGACATAACATACATAAGTATGACTAAATAAAGAATATGTAGGGACCAAGCTTTTATTTGCGACAATTTGTAAGTTCAACACAATAAAGTTTGACGAAATGGTGTAATTAAACACTGATGTTACCCAGTTCTGGTTCACAATGTTCAGGGTGCTGTTGTACATAGTAACCGTAGTGCTACGACTGTCGCAAGTCAATTATAAGGTATGAAAGTTACGATCACCTTAGCACTACGACTGTCGCAAGAACATTATAAGGTATTGAATTTACGATCCCCTTAGCGCTACGACTGTTGCAAGTCCATTATAAGGTAAGGGAGTTTTGATCAGCTTAGCACTACGACTGTCGCAAGAACATTATAAGGTATTAAAGTTACGATCTCCTTAGCGCTACGACTGTCACAAGAACATTATAAGGTATTGAAGTTACAATCACCTTAGCACTACGACTGTCGCGCGCCGTCCATTATAAGGTATGGAAGTTACAATCACTTTAACGCTACAACTGTCACAAGTCAATTATAAGGTATTGAAATTACGATCACCTTGGTGCTTTGACTGTCGCAAGTCCATTATAAGGTAAGGGAGTTACGATCACCTTAGCACTACGACTGTCGCGCGTCCATTATAAGGTATGGAAGTTACAATCACTTTAACACTACAACTGTCGCAAGTCAATTATAAGGTATTGAAATTAAGATCACCTTGCTTTGACTGCTATGGACTGTCGCAAGTCCATTATAAGGTATGGAAGTTACGATCACCTTAGCACTACGACTGTCGCAAGTCCATTATAAGGTATTGAAGTTACAATCACCTTAGCACTACAACTGTCCATTATGAAAGTCCATTATAAGGTATGGAAGTTAAGGATCACCTTAGCACTACGACTGTCACAAGTCCATTATAAGGTATTGAAGTTACGATCACCTTAGCACTACGACTGTCGCACGTCCATTATAAGGTATGGAAGTTACAATCACTTTAACACTACAACTGTCGCAAGTCGATTATAAGGTATTGAAGTTACGATCACCTTGGTGCTATGACTGTCGCAAGTCCATTATAAGGTAAGGGAGTTACGATCACCTTAATGCTAAGATCGCACCCAGGTCTCAAAGGGAACTGTGTTTTGTTTGATATTTGAGGTGATTAAATCAATAAAATGCTGATTGGTGACGATTTTGTTCTTAATAGCCTAAAGAGAGACACCACACTGGAAATCAGATCAGCCTTAATACACAGTTCCTTAAAACAATCATGAGGATTAGGGAAGACACTTGTATGTTAAAATATTTATAGGGAAAGTGTAGTTTGTTAAGTCAGTTAAACAACTCCCTTGTAATAGAGAGTAGCAATACCCATTCAACTATAAGGTAGCTGTTAACTAACCCCTTATGTTTAAAAAATGTTGCCTAACTGCACAAACGTTAAAAGCCTCTTGTGCACCAACATGGGATAAAAATTGAACTATTGGCCGTCTTTCTCTTATCAATAAGGTGACCTAGAAATGAAACAAGTATTTATCTGAATATTCATCAGTGAAGAATGGTTCTTTTTATGTATATATAATTCTAATGCAATACATGTAGTTTAAAATAGGTTTGTACATTGTCTGTATGAGTTGACCATAAAACCTTGAACTTGAAGCTCTGATACCGTGTGATAATGCTATTGAAATCAGGCTACAAGAATTGATATATTTTTCTAAATGAATTACAGGGAAGTAGTTATGGAAGATCACAATGAATACATTTAATTTAGTCAAAATTCCGATTTTATGAAACAAGGCCAGAAGGTATGAAAAGCTCATGATAATTTATGATGGCCAAAATTGAAGTCAAAGAAAAGTGTTACAAATCAGAATAGAATTTCTGACTTATCACTCCCAGTCTGCGTGCAGTCACTTTATGATGTGTAACATATGGAGACCAGAGAGGCATTATCTGTCTCATCAGGCAGCATGGTGTGTAGTGGCACCATATGGGCTGGGAACAAGCTGGTGCTGGGTTGTACTGAGATTGATTTACCTTGCACAGCTTTTGGGTTGTGTGTTTATGGTCCAGTAGGCTAGTGGGAACAGTATTTCACTAGTCCTCAGACTTTGTAGCTAGCTCTGTTTGAACATTAGCTAAAAAATTAAAATGTTAACATTTTCTATCAGCTATATTTGGTTGGCTGGCTTGGCTGCTTGTTGGCTTGGTTGGCTGGCTGATTGCTTGGTTGTTTGCTTGGTTGGCTAGCTGATTGCTTGGGGCTGATTGCTTGGCTGGTTGGCTGGTTGCTTGGCTTGGTTGGCTGGGTTGGCTAGCTGATTGCTTGGCTTGCTGGCTGGCTTGGTGTTGCTGGCTGATTGCTGGGTTGGCTGGCTGATTGCTTGGTTGGCTGGCTGGTTGGCTAGCTGATTGCTTGGTTGGCTGGCTGATTGCTTGGTTGCTTGCTTGGTTGCTTGCTTGGTTGCAGCAAAAACCAAGAAGGTGTTGTGGGACAAATTGGTGTTGCATGTTGAAAGACTTAAGACTATCAGCAGGGCAGTTACAATGACAGAATCACAAGAATTGAAAGTTGGAACTAAGATCTTGTGGAGCATACTTGGACAACTGGCAGACAAATCATGATACGAAAGAAATACAACCAAAATATGGAACTAGGAAA